AATACAGAAAAGATATTCAGTAAACTATCTATTTGATATGTTAATTCCCTTTACTAGTTTATTAAAAGAATTGTGATATAATTTTCTTATCAGTTGATTTGTCTATTTTAGGTTTAATTTTGACCATTCTACATGCGTACAATCTCACCCTTGCGACATATGAGCACTTAAAATAAGAATAGTGTATCATTTTTGCTACTCTATGAATCATACAGTGATAGTTAGTTTCCAAGTTATACTTTGATTTTGGTGTACATGTATTCTTCATTTTTTTCCAGTTTTGTATTCAATTCCTTGTACGCACCAGTCACTCCTTTAAGAGACTTCAAAATCAAATCCCTTGATATCTGGATATGTGTTTATAGTTAATGAAAATATTTTTTTAGTGTTTAAATTTTGATTTTTAAACTTGTAATACTAAGTATAGCTTAGTTTTCAATAATCTCTTAATTGATACCAACTTTTATGCTTGTTACATTTAAATTGAAGCAACATTTTTATTAAGCTATTTATCCCAAGTTGCTAGTTTCTGATGAATTTGAAGGTAGATGATGGATATAGATATCAAATTCCTATATTAAAAGAGTAGATTCATCTTGTTAGTCGACAATGAGCTAATCACCTTCATTTATAACCAAGATTGAATCAAATACATATGTTGATCCAGAAACCGTGAAAAAATGGATTGTTTCATTTGGCATAATTAGATTTGATCTTGAACATGGTCAACTTATTGAAAAATGTGTCTACCTTGTTATCTTACAATAACATCTGTAACAGCCCGGAATTTCAAGTATTGTTAAAATTATATTTTAGGGGTGTTTTAAGGGGGGACTCGGCGAGTTGGAGCCAGACTTGCCGAGTAGGATCGCAGACCTGGTCGCGGGTTCGCGACTGGACTCGACGAGTCAGATAGGGACTCGGCGAGTCTGCGTTGTTTAGCGAAAACCCTAGCCGTTTAGGCTTGGGACGTTAAAAGGGGACTTATAGGCCGTCATTGTTCATTTTACCTTCTGAGAAGAACTCTAAATCGATTGTGTGCATCTAGATCAAGATTAAAGGCCATTGGTGATTTTGAAGGAGTTGTTGTGCAAAGAAGAGAAGGGCTTGGCTAAAGGAACAACAAGGGGGTCACATTCTGAGGATTGGGGACACAGAGAACACATTATCCAGGTAAGAATTCGTGTATACTCTGCTATGGTGATGTATTTAGAGGATTAGGGTTTATGGAACCCTTTTGTGGATAGATTGAATGTTACCCTTGTTCCCCAAACGATTGTAACCCTGTATTAGGACCCTTGGAGGTCCAGAATACCCATGTCTGTGCATTCGGGAATTGGTGAAGGTTTTGGATTGAAATCCTTATGCCTTAGGTCAACATGTGAATTATAAGTCTTGGGGTGTAGCATGAGCACCGAAATGAGGACCATACATAATGGATCAGTCTAGGAAGGCCAGACCTATGAATGGTCGGAGCAGTTCCGACCTTAGGAGCAGTTTGAGCGGCTGCATGGCATGGACTCGCCGAGTCAGATGAGCAGACTCGGCGAGTAGCTTGAAGAATAACTGGGACTCGTCGAGTTGTTCCTCAGACTCGGCGAGTGGAGTCGGGGTGGCCCCGCGATTCTTCCAGGAGTAACTCGTCGGGTCAAGGAGGATACTCGACGAGTAGAAGGGAAACCTTAGAGGATTGGAGGACGACTAGACTCGCCGAGTCGCCAGAGTACTCGCCGAGTCCGGTCGAGTTGACCGTGGACCGTTGACCAGAGTTGACCCATGTGTAATTTCTTAGGGTCAGTTAACGTGGAAGATAAAAGTATTAATAAGAGATATATGATGTTATAGGGACTTGTAGCTCGGCGGATCAAGTACGAGGGATTTCAGGAGTTGCTAACTTTCAGTATCCGCGAGGTGAGTCTTCTCACTATACTGTACCGGAAGGGTTTGACTGTGTGACCGGAAGGTCGGATATGATATGTGTTATAAGTGCTATAAATGGAAAGGTAATTGCTATGCGTGCTTGTGTATGTTTATATGGGCCGGAAGGCAATATGTTATGTGACCGAAAGGTCGGATATGATATATGATATATGTGCTATATGTGTTAGGATAAATGTATTATGTGCTGTGTATGTTTATGGGCCGGAAGGCAATATGTTATGGGCCGGAAGGCAATATGTTATGGGCCGGAAGGAGAATATGTTACGGGCCGGAAGGCGATTATGTTAAGGGCCGGAAGGCGTTGTGTTGGACCGGAAGGTCAGGGCCTGGAAAGGCGTATATGCGTAAGTTGTATATTGGGGAACTCACTAAGCTTCGTGCTTACAGTGTTTTGTGTTATGTTGTTTTCAGGTTCTTTCAGTAACACGGGATGGCACCGGCTCGATTGTACACACCAGAGAAAGAGTCAAATTTTGGAGGATCCTGGTTTTCTATTCAAGTGAAAATGAAACTATGCTTTGTAATTCAATTATGAACGAGATTTTAAAAGTGTTTTAATATTAAAATGATTATATTAAATGAAAATTTTGCCTTGAAATTTACGGTGTTACAAATTGGTATCAGAGCCTTGGTTTGAGGGATTCGGATGCGCCTTCGGGTAAATCTGGACTCAAACTGAGGAAGTAAGAAAAAGTTTTCAAATAAATAGTTTTCTAAAAGCGAATAAGAGTTCAAAGAGAAAGCAAGAAAGAGCAGTGTGTACAATCAGCCAGAGCCAAACGGTGATTTCCCAAAATACCCTTACTTTTGTGTTATGAAATATCTATGATGCACTTTATGAGATATTATTGCATGCTAGAGACAGGCTAGGTATTTCATATCTTAGGACTAGAGTGGCCTGATTTGTGATGCCTTAGCCTAGGGTTTGTGTTATATGTGCGTTATGCTTTTGAGTATGTGATGAGTGAGAGTATCCAGTTAGAACGCATGAGGGGTAGAGTTACAGAGTTCAGGGTATTTCCGAGGATGAGCCGAGAAGGTGGAGTTATCACAGATAAGGAGTCCTATGTATTCTTCGATGCTCGAATGCTGCTTGCTTTGTGCTTTGTGGAACTCTCGATGATGGGAGTCAGCTACTAAGTGAGTATGACGATATTCAGGAGGTAGATGGCTGACATCATTAGGAGCTCTTCAGCAGCTGATAGCAAAGAAGTGGGAGGACGACGGAAGAGACTAGGGAGTAAACCTAGCCAGATGAGTGCGCTGGTAAAGTAGAGGATTTCGCTGGAGAGCAGGCACGTGCGATGGGATTGGTGAAAGAGCAGGTCGAGCAGCTACTTAGGAGCTCTGGGATGGTCCGTGTGGAAAGTATGGGTAGATGTGGCAGGTAGTATGGGCCCGTACTACTGAAAGCAGAGGACCCATACTTGTACAGGGAGCATTCTGAAGGTCCTAAGGAACGATTGAGGAGTGATGTTATGGTTCGAGTACCATACATCGGAGCAGATTGAGGAAGTGATGCTATGGTTCGAGTACCATACATCGGAGCAGATTGAGGAGTGATGTTATGGTTCGAGTACCATACATCGGAAGATTGAGGAGTGATGTTATGGTTCGAGTACCATACATCGGAAGAGATTGAGGAGTGATGTTATGATTCGAGTACCATACATCGGAGCAGATTGAGAAGTGATGCTATGGTTCGAGTACCATACATCGGAGCAGATTGAGGAGTGATGTTATGGTTCGAGTACCATACATCAGAACAGATTGAGGAGTGATGTTATGGTTCGAGTACCATACATCGGAGCAGATTGAGAATGATGGGTTTTGAGCATTCTAACACTTCCTAAGTGTACATGCAACCCTAATAACCTTGGATCTATGTTTGTCTAATTGTCATGCAAAGTTGAATTCCAAGGTTATATTCCTATCTAGCATACATGGGGAACAATTTTAACATAAAGTATAGATAGAATAACTTACCTTGTTGTTGTTTGTGTTCCTTGAAACCTTGTGAGCCTAGCACCCCAAGTGTGATGCCTCAAATGCTTCACACAACACCAAATGCTCTTGGAAGAACTTATGAGAGAACACACACTTCTTCAAAATCGGCCAAGCCCTCTTTTTCTTAGTGTAGCCGATTTTGGTGGAGAACATGTTACTTATATAGTGTTGACACATCTAGGGTTAAACCCTAATGTGTCATGACTCTTCATTTCCATGACCCATGGGTTTGTAACTCCCATGGAGCATCCATGGAGCATCCTATGGGTGGAACCCAACTTGATAGTCCATGGAGCCTTTTAGCCCACTATACAAGATATGGATGATTTACATAATCAACCCATATATTTAATTAGTTATCTTTTGATCACTTAATTAATTCTAAATTAATTCTTGATCAAACTAATCAAATAATATTA